GGCATACATAGTAATTTCTAATTAAAATAAAATATAGGTAATTTTAAATATTTATAATCATTATTACTAATATTTAAGGACACAATTATCTCCATAACACCATGAAATTCCTATTTTAGCACAAATGTAAAAATATATTTTAATCAATAATTAAATAAACCTAAATATGAAAGTTGCAGCTGTTATAAACAAATTTAAGAAAAAAGCTCTACACCTATGTATTGATTTCCATTTATAAAAGAGCCAAGAGCTACACAATACTTTTAAGTTTCAGACTACATGTAAATGCAAAATCCATTTGGGCATTTATCAATATTTTATGCCTTACCAGTGATAGGTTAGTAAGGCAAACAATTTTATGTATTTAATTCTTTTGCGAAATTAGGCTATGTCAAATCTGTTGTTAATTTTACAGCAGAGTTATATAACAAGCATTAGTCATCATCTTGGCAAATACTATTTACATATTTATTTTTCAAAAATATATAAATTATTATCTAAAAAAAATTAACATTTGAAGAGAATTTGAGCTTTCACAAAATCCTAAAGAATCTTATTTTTACGAACCTATCTGCTAACATTTCTATTTTTGTACTGTTTAATAGATATTTCCCAATAAATCATGCCCAACAACAATTTTATCTTTATATTCACTTATACAAAAATATTAAGAGCAGTACAAAATTTTAGGTCCTTGATCAACTTTTTTAGAATTTAAAAACATAATGAATTTGAAAAAAATTGCTAAAAATATTACTATTAGTCTCCTAATTAGTTGTTACGCAGTTAAAATTTGTCAATGCTCCCTAAAAATAAAGATAGATGTATTATGAGAATACAAGAGTAAATTCAAATTTTATAAAAGAATTCTTACGACAAAATTACTACTTTAAAGTATTAATTCACATGAATCTCCATTTATGCAGGTTGTTTTATATATTTTAGATGTGTAGCATTCTAAAAATTTTTTTTCAGAGTTTCCACCACATGTTTAGTCTTGCCTTTTAGAGATTACATTGTAGCTATTCATTTGGATGCATTTATTTTAAGAAATACAGTATCTAGAA